TTCCACGTGCCATGTCTAATGGATGTCAGTTAACTGAAAGTTCTCCACTGTCTTAACCAGGTATTGAACTCACACTCTTTGGGTCCTGTAACTGGATCTAACTAACGCCTTTATCCACTGTGCCATGTGTCCTTGGACTATAGTCCGAATAATGTAAATAATGTACAAAATACCCCATCCCAGAAATATAGACAGATACTGAAGGGCCGAAACGTTGTAATAAATATGGCGACAAAGATGAGGACAATAGTCCGAATAATGTAAATAGCGTACATAATACCTCTTCTCAGAAATATAGACAAATACTGAAAGGCCGAAACGTTGTAACAAATATGGCGACAAAGATGAGGACAATAGTCCGAATAATGTAAATAGCGTACATAATACCTCATCTCAGAAATATAGACAGATACTGAAAGGCCGAAACGTTGTAATAAATATGGCAACAAAGATGAGGACAATAGTTCGAATAATGTAAATAGCGTACATAATACCTCATCTCAGAAATATAGACAGAAACTGAAAGGCCGAAACGTTGTAATAAATATGGCGACAAAGATAAGGACAATAGTCCGAATAATGTAAATAGCGTACATAATACCTCATCTTAGAAATATTGACAGATACTGAAGTTTGCTAATATTTATCTATTTTCAGGACAGACACCTATTTGCGAATATAAGACGAACAGGAATAGCTAAAGACGTCTCCCAAAAGCGAAACAAAGTACTAAAAAGACATAAGTTTTCGTTAGAAGCAAAGAAAAAATTATTTATTTGTTATGCAATATCAGTCCTCCTATATGGCAGTGAATTCTGGACAATTTCCTCGCGCCTGAAGGAGAGATTTGAGAGATCATAGATGTGGTTCTACAGAAGAACGCGAAGAATATCATGGACAAATTATTGGGCAACGAATAATTTTTAAAGATAATGGAAACAATAAGTTCACTCATATTCAGAATGAGAACTTGACAGTTGAAACTTTCGGGATACATAATGAGGAAGGAGGATTTGGAGAATATGACACTCACCGGGCCTACTGAAGTCGATAGAGAGAGAGGCAGAGAGGGATGGAAACAGTGATTGACCTAACTGTCTATCTTATGTAAATGGATAGAACACAAACATTGCTTAAGGATATGAAGGATTATGAATTTGTGGAGAGCCATGTTCGCTCACATTCTGAAAGGACACACCACATGAAAGAGGATGCAGACGCACAACTGTATATATGCATGCAAAGACGCACAGGTATTATTGTGAGACCGGAACTACCTACACAATAGACTCTTCCAGGTCTATATTAAGTATGCGACACAACACTCTAGAGAGACACAGGGAGACAGTGAGAGCCGCGTACGACTACCAGTATTGGACACTAACATATAGTAAGCTCCGCTTACACTATCTCTGTAACCTGTTGTTAATATATCTTTCTTACATCTAATCCGTTTTCCGTGTTTTCCTTCTGTGGTCCAGACTTTGGCCCCACATCAGGTATATACAGTGAGATACACACACATTCTCTTTGTCACTCTCTTGGAGTGTTTTAGACACAGTGTCTAGTACAAGGGAAGATTTTGACGAGAACTGAAAGCGAATTTCTTAATTATCGCACCCCAAAACCCTTCCCAAAATATCTGATGTTTTCGCCATTTGATTATTTTTCAGCACCCCAATCGTATACGTATGGATGGGTGGTGGAAGGATGAAATCTTCTGTGGGTATTGTAATCGGCAAAAAAATGTATTGCATTAAATATAGTTTTATTTCTGATCTTTAAATTCGATTCAAACACACACACACATGCGCGCGGAAATACGTGTGCAGAGGTGGGCTCTGTGCGTAGTGTTGCAGCTATCGGCGGGGAAAGTCGGATTGGCGTACCGAGTTCAAATTCGAGCCGTGGCCATTGCAATTACATTCACACAGATATCAATGGAAAAATATAAATCCCACTCTTCCCACCTCCAGCTAGTGTGAGAAATTTCTGGGCCGACTACGCTCACTAGCCTTGGTTGCCAATCAGTCTAGTAAAAGAACAATTCTGACTTAAAAAAAAAATATCGGTTAGTCTTGGGGCTAGCAACTCCAACCCGTAAAAATCTACCTGCTACTGAAATCACAGCAACATGCATCTGGTGTGGCGAGGGTGTTTTCCTCAACTCCGATGAGAGTCTGCAAGATTAACACACATAAATATATAAATATATATCTTATTAAAAAAAAACCAAAAAAACAAAGCTGTTAATGGAACCAACAAGCAACTTGCCAAAACCTGAAACTCTAATGCAGATAAAGTCTGGAACAAAAATAACAAAACTGAAAAAACGAAAGAGAAAAAAAAAGCCTAAAGGCAAAACTCAGTTAAATGCTCGAAGCATAGATTGCCTAGACAGAGCGAAAAACGCTTAACAACGTTACTTCCCATGAAAGAATGACCCAAGTCGTAACCCGATTTTCACGCTCACGTGCTCTTCAGACGACTAGAAACTCAGGTACATATATATATATATAATTATATATATTTTTGAATAAAAACAGACCACTTTAAGGTTCCATGTAATAAGTTATTTCACCACAACCCTTTTAAAGGGCTCTGGATCATCAGACTTTACTTCCAAAAGTTAAAATGAAAAATGAAAAGAAACTTACACATTTTTGACGGACCGCACCAAGCGTATGTAAAATTAACAAGTGAGGAAGTGAGTTGGGAGAGAAGATATGAGTGAGTTAGATGTTGCCATTTCAATTCCTTATCCTTAACCCCCACTCTGTGTGAAGCTAGACGCCGCTTAACAATGTATGTTATCTCTAGATATAGATGGGTAAGGGGGGGAGGAAAGACCGACTTAAAAGGAGAAGATACAACAAACAATAAATCATGTCCATGAGAGCAGGTTTCATTCAAATTCTTAGACGCTGTTATTTCGCATTCCTTTAAAGGGTATATTTGGGGGTTAAAGTTTGATATAAATCTAAATGTCTAAAAAATCTATGAAGAATTTAATTTGAAGTTTGTTGGAGTTTTGGGTATTTTTTTATGAAATAGTCGATTGGAAAAAATTCATAGTTCATTATTACTAAATAGACACAATGAACTAGTTTTTAAATGCAGACACAAGAACAACCTAAACCTAAGTAAATACATTGAAAAATATCTATATAGGAAGAATAATATTGAATTGGCCATTGAACCTTAAAGTGGTCTGTTTTTATTCAAACATATCTGCTCTGAATTTACATTAAGCTCTCTGGATATCATCCTCCTTGGGTCTACCCATACGGATTACCTAGTTTTTGCATAAACTAACTAACTAACTAACTATATATATATATATATATATATATATATATATATATATATATATATATATATATATATATCTTTTTCATCAAGAAGCAAAAAGTAAAGCCACTAAGACAACAGGGGTTACTGAGTGTGAAATATGAAAAAAAGAAAAAATATTACGAACTGAGAGTAATAAAAACAAAAGATAACGACTGTTATTGCATTTAATTTTTTGAAGAGTAGAGTGAATATATATATATATATATATATATATATATACGAGCGGCTTGGATTGAGGAATCGGAGAGCCGAGTTCGAATTCGTCGAATCCATTACATTCACTTACGTATTAACCCTTGAATCCTCCTCTTGTGCCTTCAGCTATGGGTAAAATAGTAGGACAGACTGGGTTCTATAGCCTTGGATGGTAACTGGTGTAGGAAGAGGACAACTCTGAATTCAAAACCTGCGGAGGGTCGTTTGGGGATTCTCTGTATTCGGTTCTTCAAAAAGTGTGGATGGTCTTGCACGAAACCTTCACCATTATAATCAAATCTTATGTGCTGTTGTCGGGCTGTCGTTTTCCTAGGAACTGATCTGCTTGACCCTCATACGTCGAATTCGACGGGAGAGTTGCGCGATAGTTAATGAACCAAATCCACATCCAAAAGCAGGTTCCATCATTTCAGATACCAAAGTGAAACAAATGAAATATTTCGCACGTTAAAAGAGTCATTTATTCTATTTTGTCGTCCATGAAAGTTTGTAATCATTTTTAATTGCGTCACAGTTAATTTTCACTGATACTGGTCATGTACAGTAGTGAGCAACAGCAATGATCCTTGCGATAACAATGAAAACAAAAATAAATTCCATTTGTTCTTCGTATTTTTCCCATTGATAAATCGTCTAAAAAATAAAACATATATTTTCGGCGAAATATGGTTTTGTGAGGATTTTTCTTCAAAGCACACAGTTATATTAAAAATTTTAAGTTTTACAAAATTTTGAAAAACATTGAAATTTACGTGCAAAAACTAATTGGTTTAGCTACTATTTCAACGTTAAACACGTTTGTTTGAAAATTTATTTTGGCATTTAAAACATTAGAAACCCAATAAAATTATTGAAAATCGATATCGTATTGATCGACAAATATTGATTTTAACAAGTTTCAACAGTGTACACAAAATCTGGATATTATAGTCTTATAGTGAATGGTTAACAATGGTAATTATTATTCCTAAAGAAAGAGATAAACACGCACTCCTTACCACGACAAGAATAATTATTTTAAGCTAAAACCGGATCCCATAAGTATGCCTACAAAATTTGTGGAAAACGTTGTTTAACAAGTTAGACATACATATTCAGTTGTATTGTGAGATTGATCCTCGCAGAGTGTCCTGTTCTCGTGAGCCTGTATCAGACTAAATTAGACTTTTATACACACACACACACACACACACACACACACACACACACATATATATATATATATATATATATATATATATATATATATATATATATATATATATATATATATATATATATATATGAAATGACTATAACTCCGGAAGATATTTTATTCGGTACAACTATTTGATAAACAAACAATAATTGTTGGTTTTTGGAAAGGTAAATGACATCGAACTAGAAAAGAAAGAAAGATAGAAAGAGTCACAGAGTCTATAAACGCAGACTGGAAGCAGGAAAGAAATATTTATAGAAAATATGGGAAAGAAAGAAAGAAAGAAAGAAAGAAAGAAAGAAAGAAAGAAAGAAAGAAAGAAAGAAAGAATGATAGCGTGTAAAAACGTAGACGGGAAACAGGAAAGAAATATTAAGAGAAAATATGAAAGAAAGAAATAGTGACAGATTTATAGAAAATATGAGAGAGATAAAAGAAAGAAAGAAAGAAAGAAAGAAAGAAAGAAATAGTGACAGATTTATAGAAAATATGAGAAAGAAAGAAAGAAAGAGAGAAAGAAAGAAAGAAAGAAAAAATGACAATTTCAAAACGTAGACAGGAAACAGGAAGGATATATTTATAGAAAATTGGAGAAAAGAAAGAAAGAAAGAAAGAAAGAAAGAATGACAGCGTCTAAAAACGTAGACGAGAAGCAAGAAAGAAATATTTATAGAAAATATGAAAGAAAGAAAGAAAGAAAGAAAGAGTGAGAGATTTATAGAAAATATGAGAAAGAAAAAGTAACAGATTTATAGAAAATATGAGAGAGATGAAAGAAAGAAAGAAAGAAAGAGTGAGAGATTTATAGAAAATATGAAAAAGAAAGAAAGAAAGAAAGAAAGAAAGAAAGAAAGAGTGACCGAATGCAAAAACGTAAACAGGAATCGAGAAAGAAATATTCATAAAAATTGTAGAGAATGCGAGAGAGAAAGTGGGAACAAAGAATGGAAGAAAATAGAAAAGAAAGAGGGGGAAAAAGAAAAAATTAAAAAGAAGCAAAGCACGTAATATCGAGCGACAAACAAATCAAAAAAGAAAAAAAAGAGTGAGAGACGAAGTAAAAGAGGGAGCGGGAAACTACAAAGAAGGATATAAAAAAAAATCTGACCCACATGAAAAGAGGGTGAGGCAAGAGAGGGAGAAAGAAACGAAAAAAGTGAGAGAAAGAGGAAAAGGTAGTAGAGAGTGGTATAAAAAGGCGGGAGACAGACAAATATAGAAAGAGTGGGAAAGATTTAAAGAAAGATGAGGAAGAAAAGGATGAAGACAGAAAGGACGGAAGAAAAATTGAAAAAAAAAAAAACAGAGAATGTGGGGACAAAAATTAAAAACGTTGGAACTGTATCAAGAGAAATGAGAAAGAGAGCTAGAAAATTTGATTAAGAAAGCGAGAGAAAGAGATGAAAAAAGAGAGAAAGGAAAATAAAGAGAGGAGAAAAAGATGAAGAAAGGGAATGAAAAAATTTGATTATAAAAGAGAGAGAAAGAGATGAAGAACGAGAAAGAGAAATAATGTGAGGAGTAAGACAAAGAAAGAGAATTAGAAAATTAAATTAAGAAATAGAAAGTGAGATGAAGAAAGGGAGAGAGACATAAAGAGAGGAGATAAAGAAAGAGAACTAAAAAATTAGATTAAGAGAGAGAGAGAAAAATGAAGAAAGAGAGAAATAAATAAAGAGAGGAGAAAGAGACAAAG